TTCAGAAGGAAAGTCGTCCAAATCGCCCCAGTCCCCCTCCCACCCCCGTTCCCTGCAGGAATGAATGGACGAAAAAGACCTCGAAATCAACAAGTGAAGTATATAGTGGAAAGCATATGTTTTTTATAAAAAAGTTCAGGAGATGTAATGAGGACCTGTAGGGAGGCTAAATGTGAACTTGGCTGTCTGTGTTTCATCTCTAAGCTGCAAACAAGCCGTTCTGGATCCATCTACAGCTAAAATCAACATAAACAGTGGTACTTAAGCACTGGCACCTTCACTTACGGTGCTTTAAGAGTCATTCTTCTTCCCTTATTCCTACTATCCCGCCACCTGTTTATTCGAAATCTATTCCCCACTGGCGGCAGCTCATAGTATCATGATTTCGTGGCTAATGATAAAGGTTTTCTCGATTTTTATCGCACGCGAAGCAACTCAATTTGGCAGAAAACAACCCGCCCTTATTCCACCTCGATGCCCCTGTACAATTCTAACGGGTGATTAAGCTGTCACTTGTCAAAATCGGCTGGCAAAAGGCAATTTTTGTCCGCGAATATCCGCTGAACTACATTTAAAAAAAAAAAAAAAAAAAACATACAACGTCTGCAGGTATAACATCTGCTGAATCAAAATATTCCGCAACCAACTCATCGGCCACCTAAAAATATCTATTTTATTCGAAAATTTCATAAATTATTCAACTGTTTCTTCAGGTGTACTTGATACGGTGGAAAACAGCTTTTGTCAATGGTGAAACCAAATCCACAGCACTCGGGTTCATTCGCTTCAATGATAGTTGGCAACGGCACAAATCAGGAAGTAATAATTGGCCAACGCACGGGCTGCCCGTGCAAAGATGCGTTTTTTGCATTGATCCCCACACAATTTTGTCGCCATCGGCACTGGCTTTTCCAGCAGATGTTTCTAGCTAAAAGAATTTCAGACTGGCCACCAGAACTGTCACGAAACATTCCTTCAAAATCCCAGTCTTCTAGCTTCTCAGATTCCCGAGTTAGCGACTTATCCGAAAAAAAATTTCACGGGCGCGTACATAGGTACCACGCTTACCTGGGAGGTGGATTTGAGCTCATCAATATCTACTTGGACTGGGGACATCCCTTACGATTTCAGCCTTCTAGCTTCTCAGATTCCCGAGTTATCAAATTGTTCGAAAAAAATTTTGGCGGGCCCGCGCGTGGGTACCACGCAAACCCGAGGGCTGGATTTGTGTTGGATGAGACTTACATGGACAGGGAATATTCCCTTAAAATTTCACTTGGGTACCACGCCAGTAAGACCGCCCATTTTGGGGATAGGGGCCCGTACGTGTATGTAGATTAAGTTCCCAAACTTTCAGCCCTGTAGCTTTTGTAGGTCTCGAGATGAAAAATCGGTATAGACGAACACACAGACACAGATACAAACACACACACAGACAACCCCTCGTCAATGTGCGTTTTCTGCATTGCATAGCTGCAAAAAACGCATAAAAACTTACAGTCGGCTTGTTTCTGTAAGGGATTTTTCTCTTTAAATCCTATTCTTCCGCCACTCTTTTCCCCATCCCTCTCTTCCTCTTTCCTTTCCTTTTCCGTTAAGCACTGCTACCGTCATACTGACGAAGTCCTGTCGCAGTGTTAAGACGTATATGACTTAACGGGCCAAAAGGTCTTATCTCACTCTTACCTTCTTTTCTCATACTGTTCTTTCATGCTGTAATCTATCACGTCCTCGCTATTTAGGCTTCCCAGGTCAGGCTGTTTGCTACAATCGGCTTATCTTGCCAGCAGCCGACTACTGTTGGCGGTTCAACGAAAATCCATTTTCGTGCCGAAAATCTATCGTCATTTTCGTGCAAAGAAGGAGCCCTCGTCGGGAAGCAGAGCCATTTCTAAATTGGACAGCACAGTTACCTAAAATCTGTTATTTTATAGAAAAAAAATGGAAAATTTCAGCAAAATGCACCTCATTGTAGTTCGTTTGTCCTTTTTCTTTCACTTTCTCGCACACTTTGGTACTGAAATGTCGTAGGCCTTTCGATTTATCAGCGCTACGTGGAAATTTGCGCCCTCCACCAATCTCGTAGGCATATTCACTTGAGAATGGCCGTTTCACGCTGAACACTGAGCTACCCGAGAAT